CCCGGACCAAAAATCGGTGGGAGCCCGGGGGCGGGTCTCCTGAGCGGGGTCTGGGGGCCTCCTGGAAGAGGCGTTGCTGGGAGAGATGGGCTCGCTGGATAGCCGGGACGCAAGGTCAGGTTATGGCATAGGAGCAGAGAAGGGGTTTGGGTGGGGAGGGACCTTCCAAGGTCATCTGGTCCAACCCCCCTGCAGGGAGCAGGGACATCTGCAGCTAGAGCAGGGTGCTCCATCGTCCCTGGGATGGTGCCAGGGATGGGGCAGTGACCACCTCTCTGGGCAGCCTGGGCCAGGGGCTCAGCACCCTCAGGGTCAAACATTTCTCCCTTCTCTCTAGTCTAAATCTCCCTCTTTTAGTTTCAAACCATCCCCCCATGTCCAGTTACAGCAGGCCCCACTCAAAACCACGTCTTCATCTTTGTGATAGGTCCTTTTAAAGCCCTGGCAGCCCCCAGGGGTTCTCCCCAGCTGGAGCCTTCTCCTCTGTGGCTGCCCCAGCCCAACTCTCTCCTGCTGGGCTCCCAGCAGAGGGGTTCCCCCCTCGGGGCATTGCTGGGGCTCCTCTGGCCCCGCTCCAGCAGGTCCCTGGCTCTGCTGTGCTGAGGACTCCAGAGCTGCCCCAGCACTGCAGGGGGGTCTCACAGAGCTGGCAGAGGGGCAGGATCCCCTCCCTGCCCTGCTGCCCAGGCTGCTGGGGGTGCAACCCAGGCTGCTGGGGGCTCCTGGCCAGCTCCTCACCCCCAGGGCCTTCTCCCCAGGGCTACTCGTATAATACCGTAGCCAGGTATAATTGTTTTTGGTCAGGTGGAAGCAGGCTTTGTGCTTATGTACTAGGACAGCTGTGTCCTACAGTACAGCTCCAAAATGCATCTGAAGTATTAATTAAACCACAGGTGGAGGTTCTAATGCCATTAAATAGCATGTAGTTCTGATCCAGTTGTACAACTGCTAGTATCATGGGTGAGCTTCTCCTGGGCCTTAATGTGAGTTTATTTTGGCTACTGCACTTCCCATTCCACTATCTCGGGCTCCATCATGGTGGTTTTGAAGTGTATGTTGGTGATACTACATCACATTGTATGGAATGTAGAATAGCACTAACTCATGGTTTTTATAAATTCACACTATTTACCTTAACCTGATTACTTAAATAATTTCAATACGTTTTAGTGTATTAGTCAATGTGCAGCAAAAAACTAGAAGTAGTCTGTCCATAGTATCATATCATCCTATAATTCTTAACTCCTGTTCCCTCTGCTATGGAAAGTAGCTGATCTCAGTAGTCTGTCTGTGGCTTATTATTTATTATCAGTGCTCTTTCCAGCAGATGCTGAAATGCTTTCTCTTTAGGAAATGGTGGATCAACGCTTCATGTTCTTCAGTGCTTGGAAGATCTGTATGGTGATAAGTGGATGTCTTTTATCGTGCTGCTAATTCATTCTGGTAAGCTCAGTTTTACATTTCACACTCTAAAATTGCATGGGGTTTTTTTTTTTTTTTTTATAAATTCTAAAAATAACCTGATGGCAGAGCAGTCAGAGTTCTGAAATACAGTTCCCTCAGCAAAGTAATCCCAAGTGTATCTGTTCGGATCATTTGAATTTAGATTGATAATTTGGAGATACTGCTGTCACTTAAGCATTTCTTCTTGGCACTTAAGTTGTTTGATCAAACAGTGGAGAGAAAACTGCAACTGAGAGTACCTGAATTAAGCTTCTGCCTTGAAGTAGCCATTTAAGGATTATGGCCCCCTCTCTGGGCAGCACGTGGGGGTCCTCATAGCTACGGGCAGACTGAACACTTGCTGCCCTACCCAGTTAGTCAGAACACTGCCAAAAGGGGCCTCAGTTCTTCAGGGGAGAAAGAAACCAGGAGATCACAAGTCCCCTGACCAAACTGCTGTGTATTTGACTTACTTCTGACTTAAAATTCCCAGTGGGGGTGCGGGGGGACACCTCTCTTTTCTCAAGTGAAACACGTGTCCTTTGCTTTCTTCACTTTAGTTATAGACAAGTGGTCTGTAGTCCAGCTCTGAAGCAAAATGAGGATGATGAAATCAACCACAATTTTAATATCAGCTATTTAAGGCATGGTATGTTTTGGCTGTAAGGTTAGATCTCCTTTGAGAGATGTTTGAAGGAATGATTTTTGGTTTTTTTCTTCTTTGAGAAATACTTAGTATATGACTGTGGTGCTGGGTGTTTCTTCATCCCTCAGTGTGTACATCAAACAGCTGTATGGGTTTAGTTTTTGCCTGTGTTTTTGCTTGTGTTACATTGCTTTACACTGTATGGGTTTAGTTTTGCTTACAGCCTCTCTGTAGGATTAGAGGTGTCTTTTTCCTCCAGGTGGTCACAGCCAGCGGCTGCCCAGCGCCAGCGCCCTGGGGAAGATTTTCACGGCGCTGCCTTTCGGTGATCCCGTTTACCAGATGCTGGACCTGAAGCTGGCCATGTACATCGACTTCCCCAGGCACATGAAACCGGGCATCCTCGTCACGTGTTCGGATGACATAGAGCTGTACAGCACTGGAGCCACGGAGACCATCGCGTTTGACAAGCCGGGGTTCACCGCGGTAGCGCACCCCTCAGATTTGGCAGTCGGGACCACTCACGGAGTGTTTGTTTTGGATCCGTCCAGTTTCTCGGGCAGAGGAGGACTCGAGTACGCCTCCTGCCGCCAGTTCCTGCACAAGCGCGACGTGGAGACGATGCGGCGGTGCGGAGCAGTGTGTGCCAGAGGGACGCGGCCCCAGCGCAGCTGCCCCGGGGACCGCGGGGGCTCGGGAGCGGGCTCCGAGTGCGTCTACACCGACAGCGTGTTTTACATGGATCAGAGCACTGCGAGGCGATTGCTGAGGTTCTACCAGGAGCTGGGCACCCTTTGCTGTGAAATAGACGCGTACGGTGACTTCCTCCCGGCCCTGGGGCGGGGGGCCGCTGGAGATGACGCCGAGCAGGCGAGCGAGGTGGCGAAGGAGGAGCCGCGGTTAGCGGAGGTGCGGCAGAAGCTGCGCTCCCTTCTGCGGGGGACGGCGCTCCACGTTATCGTCCTGAACAACTCCAAGTTCTACCACATCGGGACCACGCAGGAGTACCTGTTTCACTTCGCATCGGAGAGCGAGCTGCAGTTTGAGCTGGGCTTGGTGCCCGTGGCGTTCAGCAGCGTTCCCGAGCAGGGGGGGGCCGTGGGTCGGTCGGCAAGCGTCATCCACAGCGTGCTGGAGCCGGGCTGCGCCCTCGCACCCCGCACCCTCGTCGAGTACTCCAGGATCGGGCCCGAGGTCTCCGTCGGGACGCACAGCATCATCAGTGGAGCACACATGGATTTCAAGGTGGACGTGCCTTCAAACTGCTTCCTGAGTTCGTTAAGTGTGAGAACTAACGACCGACTGCAGTATGTGAGCATGGTGTTCAGTGTGGAGGATGACCTGAAGAGGAGCGTGACGTGCCTGTCGGATATCCGCTCCCTCCGGTTCTTTGGAGTCGGGCTCCTCGAGTGCTTGGACCTCTGGGGTGTGAAGGTTTGTGACCAGCTCTTCTCTGGTGGGAACAGGCGGCTGGGGCTGTGGACTGCCAGGATTTTCCCTGCTTGTCCCACCTTGAGCGAGTCAGTTAGGATGTCCTTACAAATGTTAAACTCTGTGCAGCACATGTCAGCTTTTAAACTAGACGGCTTCAAGCTCCTCTCTGTGGAAGAGATGCTCACCTACAAAGATGTAGAAGACATGCTGAAGTTCAGAAAGCAAATTTATGACGAAATCTGTCTGCAAAGACAAAAAGACAAGTCTGACTTGTAGAATAAACAGTACTTGAACAAATTTCCTGTTTTCAGTTGTGGATGATTGATTACTTCCCAGCTTGTAAAAGTCATCAGAAAAAAAGTACACAGATCTTTTCTCTGATTTCACTGAAGTAGCAATAATGAAATTGCATTAACAACCTTGGTGTAGCATAGCATTAATAATGCAGCAAATGCAGATAAAACTGTGCTTTTGATGAAACAAGTAATGAAATGTTCTCAGATCTCTAAGAATGCTAATTGGTGACTCTTTTTGGGGTGCATATTACATTTTGTAGTCTCTGTCAGTAAGAATATGATACAGAACAAATTAATTGGAAATTTGACTGAAAACTGCTTGTGAGGTTTCTCAGAGTAGAACATCAGCTCCAACCATGTGCAATGATGTGACAATAACTTATGTTTCTCTCCTTTCGTGCTGCCTTTTACCAGTACTGTTTCAAATAGAGATAAATTTATTAAAAGTACTTTTTAAATCAAGGCATCCTGCCTTAAGAATTCATAGTTTTCTTTATTTTTCTTTTTTTTTTTTTTTTTAGGGTAGTTTACACTTTCTTGTTTTTCATCAGAGGAAAGATTTGCATGAGAGATTGTTCTTTCCCTTGTGAGTTGTAGTGCTGAGGTCAGAACCTGGCATCAGGACATACTGATGTCCCTCCCTGGAAGCTGGCAGTCTGTGCTGGGCAGCTGCCAGCTCTTTGTCACCTGCAGATTGGCTGATAGGTGCCACGTGAGACCTACGTTTCATACCTCTCCAGACAGAACTGTCAGTGTGCCCGGGTGGCACTTGATCCTCCTGCAGGCCCCTGGGGGTGGTGGTGGGAGATTACACCTGTGAGTAGTGCCAGGACACGAGCCCTCCTCCCCTTCTCCACCCTGCTGCCTCTGGATGCTTCTCATACTTCCTGTAGCTCGTTAGACAAGCAATCAGTGTACACCTTAGTGCCACAAGGTGCAACAAAGCTGCTTCCCACTAGGTTTATATTAGGGTACATCCAATGGCTGTGTTTTAATTTTGCGTTTATAGCAACAGCGTCTTTGAGTTTTCCCAACAAAGCTGCTTCCCACTAGGTTTATCCAATGGCTGTGTTTTAATTTTGTTTTTATAGCAACAGTGTCTTTGCGTTTTCCCATCCATGCTGTTTTTAGGAATGTACTATGTCCTCTGTCAGCACTGCACACGCTACACATCTCCTCTCCTGCATTTATCCCTGGGCTTTCATGGGTTTCATCATAACAGGGCTCATCTCCTGACTGAGGTCCTTAGCAGCACCTTTCCTCTGCCACCTGCAAGGCAGTACTCTAATGAGTGTCACCCAAGCTGCTTCAACCCTCACCAGGTTTCTTCCTTGTCCCTACAGAAACCTTTTGGGAGACACTGTTTCTCCTGAGGATCTCTTCTGAGCTTGAAGAGATAAAAAGGAGCTAGACATGGAGATGTGGAATTGCTGAAGCTGACTTCAAAGGAATAAGGAGAATTTCTGAGCAAACAGGTTTTAAAAGTCATTACAAAATGTTAGTTTAACAATGGAAATGGCAGTAGCTTTGAGAACAGCAACGTCCAAGACAAATCTGTGAAGTCACAAACTAAAAACAGCCATAGAATATGAAATTGTGATTTGTGTGTCACCTTGTGTGCACAATCTATCCCTCTGTGGTGGGCTATACAAAGTGTTGGGGAAAACAAATGTTTGTTTGTAGAATTTGTCTTCAGTTGGAGACCCAGTTGAAGACTTCCCTGATAATTGCTGAGCTGCTCAGGCAAGCCTTCTGCACGTTCAGTACCAGTGAAAGGAAGCTACATTCTTTCAATGTGGTTATTCTGTTTAACTGCTACACTTGCATTTATTCTCAGCTCCCTCGGTGCCGTGCGCTGGTTCCATCCCTGGAGGCAGTCTGGGTGTGAGTAGTGGATTTGCTTCTGGCACAAGGCAGTGGGGAAGGGCGAGGAGAGGCGTGTGGCTGCGGGAGGGTGCCGGGCAGGCCCGGCCCGGCTCAGCTGCCCTGCTCCTGGGAGCAGCGTTCCCTCCGGGAGCAACGCCAGGGCAGGGGGCTCCTGGGAACCTGGTGACACTCGGAGGCCCGCAGGTCAGGCAGCCCCTCGGCAGGAGGGGAGGCTGGGGTGGCATGTGGGGCTTCTCCCGGGTTTCCCCGGCCCACAGCACTCTGCAGGGCCGCAGCCAGGGGTGGGCAGGAGCTGCTCGCACCCTGCGACACGGGGATCCCCTGGCACGTGCTGCCCACATCTTTGATTGTCAAATCCACCAGCCCAAACAGATGCCAGGCTGCCAGCACCATTACCAGTCTTCACGCCCCAGCCTTCTCCAGTGCAGGGTCCGTTTTCTCTGGGTATTTCCTTAGACTCTCCTCTGGCACACCAATACCTACACGCGTGCGCGTGTTTCATTCCTATTGCCTCTTACAGACTCCAGCTAATCTTGCTTTTTCACAGTCTGCTGCTAAGGTAGATGACAATTTTCCCGTGCAACCAGCTGGGATAAACTGGTCCCAAGGATACTGTGATACTCGTGCCAGGCCACATGAAGCAGAACCTAACGGCAAGGCAGCCGTGGTTGTGGGAGCACTGGTTTCGTGGCAGATCCTGAACACGAGACCACCCTGGCATCATCCTGCCCTGTGATTCTCCTCCACTCTGAGGAACAAAGGATGTGATGCTGAAAATGCGTCAGGTAGGACCTTCTAAGCGTGGGAGGTATATACTGAAACATGGAGTTTGGCTCTGGTTGAGGCCCATCGGGTGGGGTTTTGGTGAGGGCTCTCGACCATTGCCCGGCTCCATCTGTCCTGGAGCGCAGCTCAGGCTGGTACAGTCTCAAATAAAGCCCATATGAGTGTTTAATGATTTTATTCATGTCAGCTTTCTTTATTTAATTAGTTTTGCTGTGTAGTGCAATAATAGGGCTCATAATGAACATCATCTTAATGATTTCCCTGAATGCTTTGAGAGCATGCTATAATGAACAGAGATTTAGCTCCATGTATTACTGTATATATTGCGCTATGAAACTGGAGAGAGGAGGATTATTTCAGTAACCAGGAAATTGAAATCTGAGAAATTGGGTACTTACAAAAGAACACAAGGGAAGGCAGCTGAAATAAAAATGAGCAGGTGAAAGCTGTCTGTGCCAGAAGGATTTGGGGAGCCGACGGGAGAACGTAAGCTCCAGCAAGCGCTTGGGCCTGCGTGGAAATGCTCCTGACTGGGGCAGGGACTTTGTCCATACTGGAGCTCTGTGCTTCCAGCATCTTCTTGTTCCTAAATCTCTGATGCAGCAGATTCATTTTCTGCTCTTTGCGCATGTGGAAAATTAATCCCTGTGCAAATGCCACTGTAGTATTGTGAGAACAAAAATAGCAGCACTGTCCTGCCGTACACGGCTGTGAATGCAGTGCCCCAGAGGAGCCTTTGTGAGCTCCCGTCTCCTTACATGGCCTCCAGGGCTCCTGGGACTGTATTTTCCTAAAAATGCATTTGCTTTTAACACCCATTTCATTTCCTGTGACGTATCCAAACGTCACAAGAATGACAAGGAAATGTATGGGGCAATTTGCAGCCTCTCAAAATAAATGCTCGATATGGGTATGTTCTAATTAATTTGAAATAAAGATCATTTCAAAAGACATAATCCCATAAAGCCTCCCTGTGAACAACATTTAAAAACAGAAAGGGGAAAATAATTTTTCATGTTTTGTCTTGTATGATTGGACATGACAGCTGCACATTCCAAACAAAAAACTGCAATAAAACTTCTAAAAAATTAATCAAATAAACTTGTACAGCTCGGTATTCTGTAAACATTACATCTGAGGCCTTCACTCACTGATAAAAGCTGCTCTTGACATTTCAGTCCTAGTTGTGTAGATGTTAATTGGAGCTGGCCTAACACAGTGCAGCTAATCTTTTTTCCTCTGCTTGCAAACCATCTGCAAACAGGCTCTGCAATTATTATTAATTAGTGCCTGGCTTTTTCCCCCTAGTTTCAATTATTTTGCGACTGCTGCACATAGCCCGTGAAGCGAACGCTTGAAGAATTCACCGCAAAGTTGCTTTCAAGGAGAACAGTGCTGTTGCAGTGACCAGTTCACCCTCCTGTGCTGTAGCTCCCAGAGGTCTTCCCTGAGTGTCCATGTGAATGAATCTTCACCCACAAAAGCATTTCTAAAAATGGATAAAAATATGGTATGGAAACTGCTGGGTCCTTGGGTCCAGAGAAGGGCAATGGAGCTGGGGAAGGGTCTAGAGCCCAAGTGTGGGGAGGAGCAGCTGAGGAACCTGGGGGTGCTGAGCCTGGAGCAAAGGAGTCTCAGGGGAGACCTTCTGGCTCGGCAGAGCTCCTGACAGGAGCCTGGAGCCAGGTAGGGGTCGGGCTCTGCTCCCAAGGAACAATCGATTGGACAAGAGAAATTGGCCTCGAGTTGCCCCAGGGGAGGTTGAGGTTGGACACAAGAAAAAATGTCTGCCCTGAAAGGGTTGTCCAGGGCTGTGCCAGGCTGCCCAGGGCAGTCCCCATCCCTGGAGGGGTCTCAAAGTCATGTAAATATGGTGCTGAGGGACATGGTTTAGCAGTGGACTTGGTAGAGTTATGTTAATTGTTGGACTTGATGATCTTAAAGGTCTTTTCCAACCTAAATGATTCTGTGATTCTTTTTGATACATTTTCATACAGTAGATGGTTCTAGAATATAGATAAAGTGCAAGGTGTTTACTTCTTTTAAAGCATATAATTTTATTTCTATCTGATCGTGGCAATTTAATGCTCTTACTATATAAAGCTGTTGTAGTAAAATGCATTTTCTGTGCCAAAGTGAACAGAACATATCGGGGCCTTTAGAGTCTGCCCTGTCCCTGTTTCTGTCATAATTTGCTTGGTCTGCACAGAAGAAAAGTCTTGTTCTTCAGGCCACGAGGAGTGCCAAAACCTGTTTTGTCGATTCCAGGTGTTTTTTCCTGTCATTTCAGTTCCCCCATGAGTCATC